ATAACTGGACCTACCAATTTTCAGACACAATAGACAAGACCCAAATATGTTTTCAAGTTTTATATATGGGTATTTCTCTGTAGATTACCCGCCATTTAAAACAACTGGGTCTTGCATTAGTCTGCAGGGATTCTGTCCAACATGGTTTAACTACCTAAATAGTTTATTTATTGTTGTGATGATAGTTTACATTTCAGAAGCAGAATTGTCTTCTCTGGTATGGAGGTAGGGGTTAGACCCACATTTTAGGACATGACATGGAATAACTCTGATGCTATGATCAGAAGAAGAAGGTCTGCTGATGCTCTCAAACAAAATACTCCACATCTTACAAGAGAGCTAAGGAACTACAGATAATTGGTTATTCTTTCATACTACCTGATTAAGTTCTAAGCTTCATGGACTATTAGATTTCTCAGATATTTACCTTCTTTGCAGGTGTATAAAAATCAAAAGTAAGTCTTTACTCTGGGGCTTTTGATAATTAGAAATAAAACTGGAGAATGTGAGAAATCAGTTTTCCTTCGCCCCATGAGCACTGCTTACTCTTTTTTAGGGAAGTGAACTCTTAATACTGAACATGATGCTGTCTAATGGAAATACTGACTTCTTTCCTATCTCCCAAAATATAAATAGAGATCAGCTCATATAACAGGAAATACCCTTTAGAAAAGACTTCAACTGCTTTCGTAGAAATGGAAACCAGTTATGAATCATCGGTGCAGCTACAATATTCCATAAAGCCTGGGTGTCCCACGCACAGCTCACTCAGTGCCCATAAACATGGCTGAGCTGTCAAGACTGAGGAATGGGACCAACACCTCTACTCACCCAATGCTTTTCTCAACAGTACATCATGTTGATAGGGCAGGATCTGAATATGCACACCCAGAAGGTATTGATGGGTTCACTTTGAGTGGAACAGACCTTTACTTGTGGATTAACTTCACAGGCTTCATTGTTTCTGAAATATGCAGGTGCATAGCAGCCCCTTTTCTAACAACAACCAAACAAACCAAGAGTTATTTCATAGCCTTTACCTAGCAATACACAAACATGACTGATCTCTTTGGAAAGAACCTGTTTTCACAATGGAGATAACAGATCATCAGCTTTCCTTATGCTGCTTTCTAGCTTCACAGATTATTTATGGATTTATGGATTACATAGGACCTCTTTACCTCATACAAACTGAAATACATTTATTTCCTCAGAAATATTAGAGACAAATGCTTTGCTTTGTATAGAGCTAGAAATATGACTGGGGTATTTTCTTTACACTCTTTGTAATAGGTATGTGGAATTGTTACAAAGAACAAAGGTCACAATGTTTCATCACACTTTCAGTAGCTATTTCATTTCCTTGTAAAGGTCTGATGTGTCCCTGTCACATAAGTCCTGAGATGTCATGGTGATTCAAACAAGAGTTTACTGATAATTTTGCCATTTGCTGAAATAACTGCAAAAATTCTCAGAAAGAACAGGATTATTCCTATTTATTTTGTTGTTGTGTTTGTTTGTTTGTTTGTTTTTTTATGAGGGTAATTGCAATATCTGATTTTAAGAGTTTAAGGTATCATTCTGAAAAATTAGGGGTTTTTTTATTTTTTTTTTAAAGTATGAATGTATGCAACTCCAACAAAATTGGTGGTGGTACCTCAAGCATAATGTAGCTTTAAAAAGGCACATAACAGAACTCCTACTGTAGACATCAATGTATTAGCTGTTAAATACTTTTATTCAGTGAAAGTACTGAAACACATACTTGGCTTTATGCATGTGCAATGTTCCCCCCCAGCAAGTCAGTGAAACAAGTGCTAAATTTAACACAAGTGCTTTTGTTCTATGGTTTTCAAACAAATGACTGCAATAATTGCTTGGTGGAGCAACCAGATGGCACTACTAGAAACCTCAGAGAGCTTTCCATAAATACCATTTCTATTTTCAGAACAAATATTTACTGAATTTCCAAAACCAGAAATGAAGATGGGGCTTGTGTCCTTTAATTGCTATAACCTACTAGTAATACAAAAGAGGTAGAGGCTTCTGCGTATATTCTACCTCTATCAATCACAATTCCCGAGTCAAAAGGAAAATCAGTTGTTAATCCACCTTGCATGGTGCTATAATCTACAGCAGTATAATTAAAAGACAAGAATTTTCCAACTTTTTTCTTCTTGGGAAAAAAACCCAAACAAACCACAAAAAAAAAACCCTCAAAAAAGCACACAAAAATTTATTCTAATATCCATCATTTATAACTGCACCAACTTTAATTCATATTTTACTAATTGAAATATGTAAAAATATTATATTCAACAAATGTTCTTTCTTATCAAGCTCTGTTGTGTTTTATTAAGGTTAGGTCAACAACAGTGGACACCAAGATGAAAGATAAATCACCTTTAAAAATATTAATCGTGAATCATACTAAAACATGAGACAAAATATCAGTGATGTCACTCAAAAAATATTCAGATCATTTTATAGCCTGGTTCCCAGCAGCTGCATCTGGTTCTATTTCATATAAATGCAAGTTGGACATCTATAACCTCTGGCTTCTTAACAGATGTTGTCATGAAGTTGAACATAAGCAAAAGCGAAACACATTTGTTTCAGGCCACCCAATGTTTCCACAAGGCAGTTGCCTGGCACTACCAAAGATTGTATTACTCCATGTAAAACTATATCCAGACACTCAGGACATACTTTCAAATTGTATTATTTGCGGCTTTAATTATTAATTTCATCTGTCAGGCTTTCCTCAGACCAATGGTGAGTAATGCCATGAAGTACAGAGACAGAGGTGAGTTCTGTTGAGTTTGTGTGCAGAAGCGTCTGAAGACGCCTGCAGTGCTGCAAGCAGCACCACCATAGTTGTTGCACTGCTGAGCACATGGGCTGAAGCCTGCTAGCAACCTGCATGGGCTGGGAAGGACAAATCAGCCAGATATACAAGTGGTAAAGAACAATCATCACTGTCCTAACTGATAAATTGTCAACAGCAAGAATACCAACCTCACTGGACATCAGAACAAACTTCAAAGAGATTCTGCTTGCACACTGCACTGTGGGCATCATCCATACAGAGTCTGGCATCTCATAGCCTTATACTCTTATATGGCTCACAGCTTTAAACTTCTTGTTGCTATTAGCCTAGAGAAAGAGCAAGAGCAAAACTATATTTTCCAGGCTAGTAAAGACTCCCCCAAGGAGTAGTTACTTTCTTTAATAAAACCTGTCTGCTTTGCAGAAGTGGCTCAGCCTTCAACCTCCTCTTCCAGTTTCTGCTCTGAGAGGCAAACGCTTCGCAGTCTTGAAAATCCAGACTCTTCCTTAAGTACATTACAAAGTATAACAGTGTCAGAAAAAATACAGTATGGGATCATCTGAAGTTTCAACTTCAAGCAAACAGGCCTTTAGTGGTAGCCACTAGCAACATTTTAACAAGAACCTGACTATGATTTAAATGCAACCTCATGGACACACTACTGATAGAACCACTTCACATTTCAAATTTGCTCAGAATTGAAAGTAGCTATTTTTTTTTCAGCTACTGTGTATTTAATTTTACCAAGAATTAAAGCTAACTGTGCCTTATAATCTATAAAGCTGTAGCTATTAAGACCCCAATAGTTTTAATAAGACATTCTGCTGTCTGTGAGGTTTGTGTCCAGTATAGCAGTCGTTATTTTTTGCACTTAAAAAGGAACTAATTTGGCTTTACTTTTGATACAAGTTAGTTTAATGCATATCATAAAGTTGGAATTAAACACCCCACAGAGCAGAAAGATACTAACATGAAAGTGAAAAATACTGTGTTTCTTAATGTCAGACTATTTAACAATACTTTTTTTAATATACTTTTTAAAGGATTTATAATCTGGGGCTTTTGTTTGTTTCATTCATGGGTTGGTTGGGTTGGTTTAGTGGAAAAACAAACAAACAAAACCTATTCCACTGTTGCCATTGTCATCATCATCTGCACTGTTTTGGACTTTAATTCTGGGATCCTCTGGACTGTGTAAATCAGCTGAATTATAAATTGACAGCGAAAACATTAGCTATGGTGAAGGCAGTCCAGGGTCCTAGTTACAGCAGGGTGAATACAGCTGAGCTATAAAATATTCTGTACTTTTTAAATGACTTTTTAATTTATTAAAAATAAAATTTAAAAAATCCACCAAAACCCCATACAAAACAAACAAAAAAAACCCCAACACACACACACACCAAAAAACCACCAACACCCCCCAAAAAAAAAATAATTAAAAAAAATCCCAAGCACTCTCTAGTAACAGAATATCTCTTTACATAAGACCACTTCTTCTGGAAACAATAGAAGTGCCTGTCTGAGCAATGCCCAGGATAGGTTTTCATTCAGAAGAAGGCCAGTTTCTATTTAAGACATTTCACTCAACTAGAAATTCTAAAAAAAACCCAGTATCAGGCTGCAGGTTCTCCTTCACACCCTGCCAAGGAGGCCTGCCACACAGCCTGCTTTGGAGCTGGGCTTCATGCATGTCATCTGCCACAGCAAAGCACAGCGGGGCTGTTTGACCTTCTGGAAGCCAAGCATGCCAGGGGCTTGTTAGAAATCTGTGGGTAGTATCTAGAAGTCATAAAAAAAAATTCTGTCCACATGCACACTTCCCAAAAAACTCCTAGTATGTCAAAATCATAGCTTAACACCTACGTTCCCCACAAGGTGTGGAAGCAATTAAAAGCTATTCTCTCTGACTTAATTATTATTTTTCTCTGTGAAATTGTAGGCATCTGAAACCTCAGATACAGTGTAGCTCATATAATTTCCTGCTCTTAACAGAGGAGGAAAGGGAGGTAGAGACATTTAGGTCCACAGCTCTTCCCATGGCTCCCAGAGGATCACCAGGCAGTACTGGCATTGCCCAGTGGTACACCTGAGAGACAGCAGCAGGGACTAATGTAGTGCCAAACATGCCTTCTCTGCAAGCTGCTGTAACTGCAAATTACTCTCTTACCTCCTTTCCTCTTGGCCATGTTACTCCCTGTTGTGGTTTGGGACAAAAGTACAATGAAAGGATTGCCTCCCCCCCCCCCCCAACACACACACTCTGGGATGAGGACAATGCTCATGGGTTGAGACAAAAAGGACAAGGAGGGTTCTTCACCAATTAAAGTCCTGGGCAAAACAGGCTCAGCTTGAGGAAAAAATAATAATTTTCACACTAATCACACACACACAGGACACAGACAACACAAAGAGCAGGGCTTGCATATGTTACCCCACCCCTCCCTTCTTCCCAGGCCCAAATCACTTTGTTCCCAGTTTCTCTCCCTCCTTCCCCCCAGCAGCACAGGGGGACAGGGGATGGGGTTTAGAGTCAGTTCACAGGCTGGTGGTTCTTGCTGCGTCATCCTCCTCAGGAAGAAGGATTCCTTACTGTCCTTCTCTCCGTCCCCATGGGGTCTTAGATTTAAGATTTAAGGTCTAAGATTTAAGGCTTAGATTTAAGCAAAACTGCTTTCCTTGTAGATGGGGAGACTTTTAACTGATTGGAAATAGGGATGCATTTTAAAGCTTGACACTCTGTGACTTGTTAGATTGGAACTGGACATAAATATAAAAAAATCATCCAAAGGAAAACGAGTGATTAATGATATAAATACAAGACTCAGAAAAGTCCCAGCTCAAATCATAACACCTAAGAACTAAAATGTGACTTGACTTAGTCAAAATCTGGGTGTCCAGACACACTAACCTCTGATGCTGAATATCCTGCTTACCATAGCCATTTACATAGGTAGAAAAACCTAACCTTTATAGAACTCTCTAGATCTTCAAGTTCTACTTAACTCTTTATTTCTTCTTACACCATAATTAAGTGACAACAATTTCTTAAAAAAACCCCAACCAACAAAAACAATCAATCAAACAAAAAAGTAAAAATGTAAAGCTGTTTTCTTTTCTGCTTATTATAGGCCTTTCTTCAACAGTCTGATAGCAAGACAGTTCAAGATAGCCATTGTAGGCTAAATTTCAATGCTGCTTCTCTTTGTAAGCACTCAGATTCCCTCTCCTATAGATATCATCAGATTAAAGACAGATTAGAACCAGATTTTACACTTTTGAGACAAGTACAATGAGTGGAAGCACACGATTCAAAAGATGAGTAACAGCCATTTCACCACCACCACCACCTCCCTTCCACTTTGGAAGGAAATCAGTGATGGCCCAGACTATGATCCCACAACAGCCACCAAAACAAACTTTTCTCAGGAATTTGATTTTGGCATGTCTGCTGTGTCTGCATAGCAATGGCTGTTAAACCAGATGTGTGTATCATTCACAAGTAGCTAAGAGCCTACATTGCACATCTGTCTTCCCTTAGGTGGAATTTACTGAGCTCAGACCTTGATCCTAGGAACTAGCTTAGTCCGTCAAAACAGAAGAATCAAGTTTTGAATTAATATATCTCCATTGCTTGCCTGTCTTCCTGTCCTAGTTTCAGTAGAAAGGCTGTATGTGCAACTGCAGTCAAACCCCAGTGGCTGGTCATCTGAATAGTTCTCAATCTGGCTATATTGTATGGATCTCCACTGATCAGCCTGAGGACACAGACACTTAGTGAATCACCCAATGCTCACCTAGTCAATCCCACTGCATATAATTTAGCGCTACGTTCTCAAAGTTTTCATTCCCAACTTGGAATTCCTAGCAAATGTCAAAAGTATATCCTGACATTATAGTCTCTGCAACTTTCCAGGCAGAGCTAAACCTCAGCTGCCTGCAATTTTCTCTTAGAGCTAATTGATTCCTGAAGACGTAAGAGCTTATATAGCAAAATGACTAACCTTAACCATAGTGAGTACTAATTACTTGGACACTCAAAATAGCTTACGAGAATAATCCATGCTAACCACACATAGGAAAACATAGCACTATTCATCAGAGTTCCAAGAATTTTAATTATCTTTCCATTGTGTGTATATGTATTACAATGCTCAAAAAAATTGTTTTTTAAATAACCAAGTAGCAGAACGAAGGCTGAGATCACAAGAGTCTGGGTTACAAGAAGAGTCTAAGTGAAAGCAACAAAAATTAAAATGGAAATACTGAGATAGTTTCCATTGCAATTCCACACATTTTATTATTTGTATGAAATAACTGAGTGACTGAAAAAAAAAAAATATTTTCTTGAGAAGGAAGAGTGAATACCACTGAAGTCCTATATTTCATATTTCCTTTCTTAAAACAGCTTTGAGAAACTAGCAGTACTAAAAGCCTGTAAAAAAACAAACATGAAAGTAATGGATAAAATAGCAGATGCTGCTACTACTTAAACAGCAGCAGAACATTCTTTTTTAAGAATCCATCATCTGATCATTAAGGCAGACAGTCAAAGCCTGGGCAGAACCACTGGCTGGCATAGCAAGCTCCTAAAATCTTTTGACGGTAGAGGGAATTCATGACTAATTGCAGAAAACTGCAGTTTAGTGAGACAAATGATAATCATGTTTACCATTTCCCCAGGGGAAACACTTACCATCAAGTTCAAATATCTTTTCTACAAAACTTGGGATGTACGTTGGAAAACTAGTAAAGGAAATGCTTGTGAGATTCAAAGGAAAAGAGTCTCAAGCCCCAAAAGAAATAGAAGGGCAGGTGTTCTATTAAAAAGGGAGCTTTTAATAAAAGGTTCCTGGGCTTGTGAACAAGGTTTCAAAAGGGACAGTCAGGATCTGGGAATGTGATATTCTCAACCAGCATAATTAAGAAATACATATAAACATATATATATATTAAGAAATACGTATAAAACATTTAGAAGAAATGCAGCTAGAATCAAGATAAAATAATACTCCTGATGAAGTCTCCTTTTCCTTCCCTCCATCCTTCCTCCCCCATACACAATTTGTGTAACAAAAGCTCCAAATAGCCCATGGGAAAGGGAAACATTGTTTTCAATGTCTTTTGCAACAGGCAGAGAAAATATTGTACAATTTAGCGTGTGCATTTTGTTCAGTCAGGCATTACAAGGAGCACTAGGCATTTAGTAGATGTGACAGTGAAGGGTTTTTATAACATCAGTGTTATATAACCTGATTTTGGTAGATGGTTAGCAGCAACAGTTGTCAATGTGAAGTCATCTCTCAACATAATATGAGGGGACAGGCCAAGTGGATTCTGGCTTGATTTGTACCAGGGCCTAGTACAGAACATCTCACTGCAGTGCAGGCATTTACAAATTGGACTGATGAAGTCAAAGATGCTTGTAAGTTCTGAAAGTGGGAGAAGAAACTTTGTGTTTTCCAAGTGTTGGCTCTTGCTACTTAACAAATAGCATGTTCTGTAATACAATTTAAATTAATCGTGTACCAGGAAGGTATTTGGGGGATTTATTTATTTATTTCTACATCTCAGTGGCAGTCAGCATACAGAAAACACGATACAATGAGAACAGCATGTGAGGGTAATCATGTAGTTAGGCAGCAATGTTACATCTAGTTGAGGCCAGTTATCTCTGGATGTTGATGGGAAGTGTCATGTGTTGCTTTTTAACATTTCCACATGGGTGATCTGTTACTTTGCAGCACTAGAATCTGCATTTGATTTCTTACTCTCTTATCTGACTCCTCAGGGATTCGGTAAATCCAGCAGTACTTTACAACGGCCATTCTCTTTGGCCTTTGACACATTGGCAGTCCAGGATTACAATCAGGCTTCTAAAGGGTTACCACTTGCAGCATCTGCCCTGCCCTTCTGACAGGGACTGCCAGTGCCACCCCTGTACGTCTGAAAAGCCAATAAAGCTCCATAACATCTCAAGCCAGTTTATTAAGGTGCATAGATCCACTTTGAATTTAATGCTTAGCTGAGAATGGCAGTAGTACAGAAGCTGATTCATAAATCATGCAGTAATCTTTGGCAGAGGCTGGGCAACAACTTGGGGAGCAACCATCTGAGCCATCTTGAGTTTATTCTGCTTCTTCATGTGAATGAACCCTTGGACTTCACTGTTTACAACTTAGTAAATTACCAGCCTTCCAAAAGCTTGGTTACAAATTTTTTTTTTAGCTTTTTTGAAAGCAATGAAGAAGAAAAGAGGGTTTGCTGTATATCCTCCTTTGAATCCCAATAAGTATGGTCTTAAATTACTATCTCCCCACTGGAAAATCTCCCTCTTTCAGAAACTTGGGTGCAATTACACAGTAAACTCAGAAGGACTATATAGCAAATGATGTAGGTTCTTAATGACATGTTTTTACATGTTAAAGAGTGAACAATCAAAGTAATTGTTGATTTTAAATGATAAACCTTTATTCTGAATATACTGTTTTTGCACAAGAATTAACACAACAGTTCTAGGATTATAAACTTTTTATAACATTATTGTACAAATTATTTTACAAAAAAAATATTTTTCCAGGCTTGTCAAGTTCCACAAAAGTGTTAAGAGAACACAAGAGACGGGAGAAAGACCTGCTTGCCTTGTAAGAGCAATCAAGCCTTTTTTTGCAGTAATGCACACTGAGCATTTCAATAAAAATATCCCAGAAAGCATGATCCAGACATTCCATACAACACAAGAAGAGAAGACAGCTTTGTCAGATCACAATCTCAATTTCATGGCATCTGAACAAGACAGTATCCCTTTAGCCTCAGTGAAATTATTTCTTCAAGATGATGTTTTTCTTTTAAACCATAAACAGGACAGATGCAAGTAGCTGGGAAGAGGGTGAGGCTAACTTTGCAAAACTCTTGAATCATTTTCAGACACTTTGTTTTCATCTTTTTACAGTAGTGTACAATGAGTATTAACAATATTAACATTGTGGTATGCAAAAATAATAATAAATCTTGCCTTTAAAGGCTTGGGTGTCTGATGTAAGATTTTTCCTAAGGAAAGAGTTACTAAGAGTTCACCTTCAGTTGACATTCCAAAAGCACCCAAGTACATTGCAGTGCCTTGTAAGTATTAGCATAGTTTCTAATAACCAGTGTGCTGGCATCTGAATTTTTAGGATCAGTGGGACTGAAGTTGTGTTTTTAAAGTAAGACATACTAAGCACGTTTTTTGAACTTAGGTGTTAATGGGAACAAAAGGTCTTAACATCTCTTCAGTGATACTGAAAAACTCTCAACCACAGCAAGTAACACTTGGGTTGCAAAGGTCACTTAAAAGGGATACTGCCTACTTAAACCCAGTAAGGCCAGTTTTTAAGTTAGTAAAAGGAGTATTATAGGAAAACTTACAAATGGCAGCAACACTGGTTTTTTTGTCAAGTTAAGCAGTAAAGCCTTAAGCATTAGAAACATGAAAAAGATCATACTAAAATCTTAAAGGTACAGGACCTAAAAATCTTGTCAATCAAACCTGCTATGTCATGTTAAAAACCTGTTACAAATATGGACCACAGTCAGTGTTTTGGCAGTAATGCTGGTTGTTTAAATGAAAACCTAGAAAGAAACCTTTCATGCTAAGTCCTCAGATCATGTTTTGCACAGCACCATGCTGTAACAACTTTAATGGTGGTTATTTGTCAGATTTACAATAGGCTGCATGACTTCTGTGTAAACAAACAGTCCCAACAGTTTCCTTAGTACTATTTAAAAGATCTGAGCAAATATCAACACAACTTTTTCCTGGCTTTAAAAAAAACACACCTTTTTATAACATACAGTAGTTTGAAAATGTTTCAGTTTAAAGCCTAGGATTAAGTTTCTTAATCTCTCAGACCAGAGAAAATTACTATTATGCATTATGGGAAAATAAGGATACTCTTTTGCATGAGAATATGTATCTATTCATGAGGGTTGTTTCTTAAAGACTGGTATTCAAATTCTGAGATAGCTAAACTTCACATTGCATTTTCTATCTGTGTTTTGTAATTTGCAGCTATCTATGTAGTGCATTTTAAAAAATCTTGACTATCACTTTGATTTAATCAAAACATATATTGCTCTCTGCAAAAAGAACCCAAAATTTTGTTTTTTTCCTATTTAAAGTATTGAGTTCCATGGGTACAGTACTAAGGTGTTCTGGAAGGGCCAGATCCTGAGTTTTCTATTAGACAGGTATAATGGTTGGAGGGCTAAGTGTTTATACAGAAACATGCTTCTTCAGGTAATACAGAGGGGAAAAGAGGAACAAATAATATTTCCCTCTTTGGCTAACCCAAGAAGGCAAATGCACCTTCATGACATGGGCTTCTCCCTCCTTTTGTATTTGAGCACTCTAAGGGAAGTGGGATGATAGCAAAAGCCACAGTTGCTTTCTGTGCAGCACAGCTTTGTGCTACCTTCCTTTCTGCCTACAGACTCTAATCAAGTGTTTATTAAGTAACTCAGAATATGGCCTCTCAGCATAACCTGGTTTTGTTCTGAAATGTTAAGAAATCTAACTTTTCCATGAAGGGTTTCTTTTGGGAAAGTATGCGGAAACCACAGAGAGCTTAATATACCTACAATATTTGAAGAAATTAAAAGAGCAAAATGTGAACTAATATATATTTTAAGCAATCTTAAAAGCTATGAGTGCAGTAAGTGCTGGCCTAATCCTACAACACTTATTCCTCCCATAAAATTTCAGGTGACCATATTAAGGAAAAATACAGGATGGAGTCTTAGTATTAGAAAAACTTAAACCAATTTTTTTATCAGGTGGTAACTGGTGATAGGGTCAAGAGAAGTGCAGTAAGAGAAGAGCTCCAAGATTATATTCACCCATACTATCAAAATTAGTTCACCTTCCCTGAGCAGGACCTGAAGTCATCCAGCACAGACAATTGTAGTTTAAACCCCACGACTTTATTAGAGATATTTTTTAATAAGCTAAATCTGATCACTGAGCAAAAGGTCAGGTTTTATTTTTTTACTCACTGTATTCCCAAACATGAGAAAATATGTTGCTGGAGCCAAGAACAACGAACCAGTCATGTGTACAAGTACAGTAGACATCTGATCTTTTAACCCATGCCATGGCTTTGAATAGCTTCTTAACTTTTCATAGGATATTAATGCATGCCAAATTATTTCTTTAAGCTTCTGGCATGATCAAGAAAACATCAATTGATCACCAGCATATGCATATCAATGCTTTGCATTTGATTACTTTTTTAAAAGAGCAAGTGTATTGTGCCATATTAATATTTGCACATCACAGTTGTTAGCACGTTTGTACAATACCAGCAGAGTTGCACATTCATTGGTTTAGCTGTCTTGCAATACTGTTTAGTTCTGAAAACTAGGAAAAAAAGCGCAAATCATATTTTGCATCAACACTATGCTACACTGTAATATTGTAAGTTACTGCACCAATCTGTATCACCAATGAGGTTGTATAAAAACAACTTCTAAAATTATTATTCACAATCAAGTATCAATGTGCATACATACAGATTCAAGGCTCCCCATTTGTTTAGATTTTTTTATAATCTTAGCAACCAGGACATTTAAGTATGTTATTTTCTATAATAAATAGATATAGCAGAAGTTTTAATATTATAGGTGTTTTCATATAAACAAAGCAAAGGGGGAACCTGATATGAACCTTAGAGAACATATGCTTCCAAAAATAAATGTGTTAAATCTGATTTTTTATATACTTAAAATATCTGTACACAGGTTTTCATGTGAGATTGCTATTTTGTAAAAAATCCAACTCAACTGTTTTGATACAATAGCTAAATTTACTGTATTTTCTCAGCTTCTTCATTGTACAGTATATTCAGAGCTCTGTTTCATAATATAACTTAATATGATTTGATTGCAACACATTGCAATGTTCAGTTTCTCACACAATAAAAGAATCACTCAGTTACCTTTTCAATGGACTATACTCTACCATCAAAGAAAGCAAACTGGAAAACAATAACATAGCATCATCATCATGCAAAATACCTTTGGAAACCAACGTTCAGATATCACAAATACATTTTTATTCACAAGCATTTTTGTTTGAGCTTTTGAAGGATTCTACTAGCTTTATATATAAACTGCATTGTGAAAAGGAAGTGAATCTTGCATTACAATTAACATTTTTCTGATGGAAGATGACACCAAATTTAAGATGTGAATCACTTTTGTGTTAAACTCCCAAGCACCTTTATATTTTTAAGAACATAAGTTCCTTCCTTTCCATCCTTCTTTTCTCACCCCTCTTCCTTCCTTCCTTCCTTCCTTCCTTCCTTCCTTCCTTCCTTCCTTCCTTCCTTCCTTCCCTCCTTCCTTCCCTCCTTCCTTCCCTCCTTCCTTCCCTCCTTCCTTCCCTCCTTCCTTCCCTCCTTCCTTCCCTCCTTCCTTCCCTCCTTCCTTCCCTCCTTCCTTCCCTCCTTCCTTCCCT